CGCCCAGTCCCTCCTCTGCCCGCAGGCTGAGCCCTGAAGTCCCAGCACCACCGCTGCTTCCCTGTGGCTTGAGATCTTGATCCCTGACAAAGCCTTCGATTCCCGGGAAGGGACGAGTCCTTGTCTGTACCCAGGCTCTCAGAGCGCCAGGTAAATACGCAGTGGAAGAGCAGGCTCGGGGCGGGCAGAGGAAGCGGGAGGCCTGGACGTGAGGGTGCGACCGTGCAGGAGGATGCGGGGTGGACGACGGCGCTGCCTGCACCTGTGACGGCTCAGAGTCCACCCGCGTCCCAGGGCCACTCTCCCAGGGGTCTGAGCAGCTGGTTGAAAGCGGAGAAAACTGTCTTTCACCTGCTTTCTCTCCACATTGCTCCTCTGGGCATATGGGCGTAATCCACAAGCCCGGTGCTTGACAGGTGCAGAGTGTTTTAAGGTGGACTGTGCAAGGGAACACAAGAAGAGCCTGCTGAGTCCAGCCCGTGACCCGCCCAGCTCCCAGCCACCCACACAGCACCCAGCGTGGCCCGAGGGCTGAGCCTGTTGGAACCTCAGAAGCACCCAGGTCCTTGGACTCTTGTTCTCGGCTTCCTTGGGAAAGCGGCCGTGGATACACAGGCTGTGACTCACTCTGAGTCTCCCGGTTCTCTTTAGAAACATAAACTTGTATTTATAAATATAAACTTCTCACTTCATCTTCAAGGAAATAAATATAGGTTGTTCCAGACCAAACTCCGATACAAATATCTCCCATAGTAGCTATCTGGTAGTAGAATCTGTCACTTACAGGGCACATTTTCTAGATGTTCTGTTAAGAATTTTATATCTTATTTCATTCTCATCGCAATCTCGAGAGAGTGAGCACTTGACCCAGCAGCCAAGATGCCTCTTGGAGGGCCACATCTCATATCGGAGCACTTGGGTTCGAATCCTGGTTCTGCGTCCGCTTCCAGCTTCCTGCTAATGTGCAGCCTTGGCGATAACGGGTGACAGCTCAAGTAGGTGGGTCCCTGCCACTTGTAGGGGAGACCAAAGTTGAGTTACCAGCTCCTGGCTTCAGCCTGGTGCCTGGTGCAGCCCTGGCTGGTGTGGGCTTTTGGGGAATGAACTAGAGGACGGAGATCTCTCTCTCTCTCTCTCTCTCTCTCTCTCTCTCTCTCCCTCTCTCTGACTTTCAAATAAACCTTTTTTTAAAAAAAGATAGGAAGTGTTCAAGCGCCCCAGCAGGTAGTCACCTCTCACCACCTCGCTCTCCCCTCTTACTGCACTTCCTTTCTTCTGTGTTACCTCCTCTGCCGTCTCCTCTTCCCCCTCTGCACTGTGTGCCCGCGGGTCCTTTCTTTCGCATGCTAGCTGATGTCTATCGAGGACTGAAACAGCGTCTTGCACACTTTTAGCCCAGTGCTCTGTGCAATGCGTGGGATACACTCACTGCCACTTTTTCCTCCCCCTTGGCTTTCTTCCTTCTGCCTCCCTGGTTTCTCGGGCCTGGGCGTGGGACGCAGCAGTCACATCACAGAGTCACATCCTGCCTCTGAGCCGCAAAGCCCTTGTCACCTGTCAGTCTAAACTCTCACAGGACTAATTTCATGAATTTTATGACAGACTTTGCTACCGAAAACAGCAGGCTCCTGAGCTGGCTCTGTCAACTCCACTCAGAGAACGAAAACAACTGGATGAGGTCAAGGCTATCTCAGTGATCAAAATTCCAAGTCACTGGGGAAGTTTTTAATCCAATCCCCTGACTCTTCCGGAAGCCCTGGTTGGGATGTGGACCGTTCCCATTGAACCCTGTTTGCAGCTGCAACCACCGAAGATCAAACCTATCCTGCTGGTTTGTGTGTGAAATGTTAGAGGGATGCCTGATCATTAAGGCCCACCTGAGTGAGAAAAAAAAAAAACTGCTTTGGAAAACAAAAATCTATTTTTAAAGCCACGACAATGAGGTACAGTGGCAGCGCTGCCCCGGCACTCACGGGCTCTGCTGCTGTCCCTGGTGCTGCCTCTCTTCAGGCGCCAGCAGCAAAGAAGCGCATGTTCTGCGATGGCTTTAAGGGGCATCTCCTGTCCTGGCACAGCGCCTTGTGTCGGGATGAAAGGAGACGAGCGTGGTCACGAGGAAGGCTCCCCACAGAGCCGAGATGCGGCCAGAGGGCTGCCGAGCGTTGATTTGTCCGCACCTCCCTGTGTCCGTGCCCTTGGACAGTGCCTTACCACACTGACACTGGCCCTGGCCATGGGACTTGTTGAAGCCAATGGGCTGGTGCCAACGGAGGTGCCAACAGAGACTCGAAAGGCACCTGCACGTTGGGATTTGCTCTCTAACTGCTCCAGGAACCATCAGTTGTCTGGGACAGCCAGACTGGGGGATGAGAGATCACCCGGGGAGGAGAGGATGAGGCAGTCCAGTGAGCTCTCCTAAGCTGGTGGTCCCTCAGTGAGTCCAGCCTGGGCCAGTCTAGCCTGGCCCCACATCGCAGAACCACCCAGTTAAGTCTGGGTGTGGGGCCATACAGCAGGGTGTCAAACAGTTCTTCAGGCACCCAACTTGGAGCCCGTGTTAATGAAGCAAGAACTAGCGGGGATGCCACATGGCTACGATCCCTCCTGTATGAGGTTCTTCTGAAGATCTGTGAACCCTGTGTTGTGACTCAGTGGGCCAAGCTGCTGCCTTCAGCACCAGCATCCGGTATCCAAGTACTGGTTTGAGCTCCCAGCTGATCCACTTCTGATCCAGCTCCCCGCTAATGTCCCTGGCAAGGCAACGGATGACGGCCCAAGAGCTTGGGCTACTTCTACCCAAGTGGGAGACCCATATGGAGTTCTGGGCTCCTGGCTTCAGCCTAGCCCAGCGCTGCCTGCTGTGGCCATTTGAGGAGTGAACCAGTAGATAGAAGATTTCTCTCTTTGTGTCTCTTCCTCTCTCTGTGTGTGTCATTCTGCCTTTCAAATAAATAAATAGAATTTTAAAGAAGGTTTGTGAAAATGGATTTAATGATTAAGTTTACTTTGGAGCCAAAAAAGGCAGTTTGAAATCTGTGCATGTGAGAGCATCTTCAAAATGTTCATAAAAATGTATACTATGAAAAAACTATGCATGCACTCCAAAGGCTTTTGAAAAAAGAAATTTTTAAAGATGCATTTATGTATTAGAAGGCAGAGTTACAGAGAGAGGGAGACACATGGGGAGGTGGGGAGAATTCTTCCATCCAAGGGTTCATCCCCATGGCCCCAGTGGCCAGGGCTGGACCAGGTTGAAGCCAGGAGCCAGGAGCTTCACTGGGGTCTCCCATGGGGGTGACAGGAGCCCCACCCACTTGGGCCATCTTCTGCTGCTTTCCCAGGTGCATTAGCGGAGAGGTGGATAGGAAGTGGAGCAGCCAGGACACAAACTGGCGCCGACATGGGATGCTGGTGTCACAAACCGGCTACACCACAACACCAGCACCCCCCCCCCATCAACTTTCAATTCCGTCATCCATGAGTTTTTGAGGCTCCCTCATACCAAGAACGACTGTCTTTGTAACACAAAGGGCCCCTGCCCATCAGAAAGGAACTTCACAAATACCTCGTCACCATAAGGAATTCTGCATGTATAGGTGTATCTTAGTTTGCAGTGGACAAAAAAGAATGTTGGAAACAATCCCACCTTCCATCCATAGAGGGCTCTCCACCCACACGCGTTGATGATGGGAATGCAAACCTGTATGCCTTCTGTGGAATGGTGCTTAGCAATGTCTGCCAGTGCAAACACATCGGCCCTGTGACCCAGAAATCCACTGTGCTCACCGAAGCATAGCTTCTTGCATAACCAAACAGTAAGGACAAAAAGTTGGGAACAGCCCCACGTCTGCCACCAGGAGACGGGTCAGGGTAACCCACCATGGGAGCACTGTGCAGGCGCCAGCCCAGAATGTCAAGAATGGGTGTAGCAGAGTGTGATCTTCCAGGAAAAAAATAGAGGCCAGAAAATGCCCTGATGTATTTAATGCGGTAAAAGATGCCTGAACATCTGACCCTACTTTGGAGACTTCGTTGTGTGCTGAGACAGGGGCCTTGGTTCTGGGTCACCGCAGTGCCGCCCAGCCGAGCCCGTGGACGAGCCGAGGTATCCGTGTCGGCGTGGCCGAGCAGCTGGAGGGAAGCACGGGCAGTGCACAGAGGACGAGAGTAACCCCGGAGCAATCCCGGGCAGTCAAGTGGAGATGAACTGAACCTGTCGACCGATTCCTGCTGTAACTGCCAGGCCACAGCCCCTGCCCTTGAACCTGACACAGTGAGAAAAGAAAAACAACCGGTTGGCCGGCGCCGCGGCTCACTAGGCTAATCCTCCACCTTGCGGCGCCGGCACACCGGGTTCTAGTCCCGGTCGGGGCGCCGGATTCTGTCCCGGTTGCCCCTCTTCCAGGCCAGCTCTCTGCTGTGGCCAGGGAGTGCAGTGGAGGATGGCCCAAGTGCTTGGGCCCTGCACCCCATGGGAGACCAGGAGAAGCACCTGACTCCTGCCTTCGGATCAGCGCAGTATGCCGGCCGCGGCAGCCATTGGAGGGTGAACCAACGGCAAAGGAAGACCTTTCTCTCTGTCTCTCTCTCACTGTCCACTCTGCCTGTCAAAAAAAAAAAAAAAAAAAAGGCCACTGGTCAACCTCCTCCCCCAGCCGTCTCCTAGCCTCCTAGAAGGCAGTGGGAACCAACACCCACGGAACCCTGCGGGCTGTGCAGCTGGGTCATCAGGCAGGTTTCCTGTGGCTGCCAAAGAGGGAAATGGGGAAGGGAAAAACCCTATGAATGAATGAATGAATGAATGAATGAATCAGCTGTTCATTTCTCAGCTCGGGCAGATCGCTCCCGAGGGTGAGAACGAAATGTATTTCCCGAACAGCAGTGAGTCAAGAACACCACTCAGGGCAGCCAGCCCCAGGGGATCCAGGCTGGGCGCCCCCCACCCACCCCAGGCAGGGACCAAAAATACCCCACCTTCATACACAAACACCTGACTCAGATCAGAGTAGAGTAACAGATTTTATTTCATTAAAATAGATTAAAAACAGACTGTGTAAAAGAATTAGAAATCTCAATAATTTACTATTATTTACACTAGCAGGTGCTGGTCGTTAGTAGACTTGGGAGAAGGGAAACTCGCAGCCCAGCCCTCCCAGCGCCGTCACGGCCGTCACCTGGCTGTGTGCCGGGGAGGGCGCGCCCGTGAGCAGAGACGCTGGAAGGCAGCGGAATCCTTCACTCCCAGTCCAAGCGCCCGCGGTCAGCGCCGTCTCCCGGGAGCCCGCACTCCCGACGCCAGCTCCACCCTGGGACCAGGACTCAGTCTCCAGGGAGATGAAAACCAGATACAAGAGCTTCCCCTGCCGGCTCCCGGGGACCCTGGGGGACTGTGCGGCCCTGCCTGTGGTGCCCAGAGCTTGGTCACCGTCAGAACCTCTTCTGAAATGCCCTGTGCCCTGGACCCGGAGGCAGGGTGGGCACCTGAGCAGCTCTCCTTCAGAGAAAGTAGCGACAGCCGGCGGAGCCCACAGGCCCGGGGTCCCTGTGCTGGACAGTGAGCCCCCCGGAAGGGGGGGGGCAGCTGGTGGCGTCCTGGAGAGAAGACCTAAGGCGGCAGGCAGCATGGCCTTGGCCACCCGGAACCGCGGCAGATCCACACACAGGCCCCCCGGCGTCACAGGCGGGGAGCGGCAGCTCTGGCCAGTGGAGTGGCCCCGGCACTGAGGGTCGCGGGCCGAGGCCGGGGAGGCTCAGTCCAGAATGTCTGTCTCAAAGGGGACCAGGTGGTAATAGGACAGGTTGGTGACATACGCCGCGGGGTCATCGCCCTCCTCCAGCTCCGAGGTGAACTCACCGCCGTTCTCAAACCTGCAAGAGGAGGCGGAGGGGTGAGGGCCAGCCGCAGAGCCCCAGCCAAGGCAGACGGCCATGGAGGGAAGGCGTGAGCGAGCCGCGCCCTGTGTGCTAGGCACTCAAGGCCGCAGGGGTCAGCGCACAGGGCCCTCCCACGCGCAGTGAGGTCGTGTACAAGGAACCAGGGTTACAGACCGATCGGGGGAGACCATCAGGGCCTCTGGCTGGCACCACCCCGTGACTGCCATGCACGCGTGTCGAACCAGCGGGGGGTCCTTGGCGCCTTCCTACACTTCCTGTGATCTCTGCATCTCAGCACCAGGCTCGGGGCCATGGCCAGCAACGGACACAGCAGGCACAGCCTGTCCTTGGGCAGCGTGGCCACGCTGGGTCACCCTGGGCACCCACCCACCCTGGGCACTGCACACGAGCCTCACTGAGCACCCACTGGCCAGGGGCTGGCAGGCGGCTGCCTGGCGTGTTAAGGGAGGGCTCTGCAGGGTGGGCGTGGCCCCATGGACACGTGCATGGGGCGAGGGACGAACAGCCTCCCAGCCGAAGGGAGCACAAAGACCCTCTGGTGGTGACCGCCCAGGAATCCGCCTGCTCCTACTCTTTGCCCAACTCAGTCCGGGCCTCGCAAGCCAGAAAGAGATTTTTGATGCGACCCCAAGGCTGAGTGTGCAGCAGCGGCTGCTTGTGGGATTTCTTCTCCCTTCTCAAAGTCCACAGTCGGCCCTGTCTGGGGCTCCATAGACAGCGTGCTCGGCCCCACAGAACAAGGCCACAGAACAGGCTCCACCCCATGGGCCGGCAGGGACACAAGGTTCCAGGAGACCCGGCCCTGAGAGACGGAGGCGCCGTAGCTTCCCAGGCCCGGGGCCCTGAGCCAGCGCTGGGCAGGAAGCGGTGGGCGGGGCCCTGCACATGCCCCTCACAGCCGCCCACCCGGCCTCCCCCAAGGTGCAGGCAACAAGGTCGGAGCCAGCTGATGCGGGTGTTCTGGCCACGCCCACAAACCACCTAGGGGGCTGGCCCTGCCCCTCCCCCAAGCCGAGGTCCGGAGACCCCCGTTGATGGAACTATATACTCACAAGTGCTCTGCCGGGTCCACACCCAGGTGCTGGTCTTTTCCGTTGGATATACTGTGGTCAATGACTATTGTCTCCGTGTTGGCTAAACAAAATCCATTGGACCTCATGATCTCTGAAAACCAAAGACACTAAGTGTTCACGAGGGGTCAGGGTTTAGGCCTAGAAGTTTGGGGGCGTCCACCAATCTCCCCACTCTCCCCCTGTGCACCCCGGTGTTTCCATGAGATCAATGTGCATTTGAAACCAGTGGGGTGGCTGTTGGTTTTTTCTCCCCCCGTCTACATAGCTCTGTGTGTTTTTTCCAAAAAGCATCGATTTGGGGAATTTAGAGACGCCAACAAGGAAGAATGACTTCCCGTGTGTTTTGCTTGTGAGCCAGGAGTCTGCTGCGGGTCCAGCCTGAGTGGGGGATGGGCGACCTCAGCTCAGCCCGGCCAGGAGCCCTTGGCCTTGGGACTCCACTGGAAAATGTCCAAACTGTACTGGACAGTCTCCTGGGGTTCCTCCAGCTCTGAGCTCCCCGGGGCTCCTGGATTCCCTCTCCTCTGGCCCATTCACGTGCAGCCATCTGGAGGGCTTCCGGAATCTGCCGGTGCTCAGGTGCCTCCTGTGAGCAGGTGCAGGGTCTGTGCAGAACCTGCACACTTGCCCCTGCGCACCTTAAACCGCGTCTGGGTGACTCCGAATACCTAGTGCGAGACGGAAATGCTGTGGGCACAGCTGTCTTGGTATTCCGTGGTGGACCCACGGCAATGGTAACAACTAGAGGAGTCTCGCACGCTTGTGCAGTCACAGGATTTTTCTCCAGGATGTCTTCCACCTGCAGTTGGCTGAACCCAAGGACACAGAGGCCGGCTGTACAAGCACCAACTGTGGCTGCACCCTCTTCTTCCTGCCTTCTGCCGCGGCCTTTCTGTTTCCCGAGGGACCGTGCCCCCTCGTGGAGGAGCTGACCCGGGGGGGCCGCTGCGGGCTCTCCGTGGCCCTGCCCTCACAGCAGCCCACGCTCAGGACCACCTTGGTGGGTCTGTGCAAAGCAGGCCTTCTGCTAACCTCAATCTCACAGCCAGGCTCGCCACGTGCTCCAAACTCCCGGACGCCCTCCCATGCCAGGGACGGGAGCGCTCCCTCCCAGGCCTAGCCCAGGAAAACACGGGGCTCCGTCATGCTCTGACATCACGGTCGAGAGGTGCGATGGTTCTGCGGATGGCTTGGTTTTTTTTATAACTGAAATGGTCATCTCCGGCTTATTTTTAGTCTGTCTGGGTATTTACTCTTCTGTTCTTGGAACTTCCCTCCCTAAGAGAGGAATTAGGGAACCATAAAAGTGAAGAAAACAGAAGGTCTCTTCTTCATCCCCGAAAGAGCAAAATGATGACTCAGCAATCCGATCTGCTGAGTCATCGCTAAAACGCCTTCCGGCTGTTCCTCTTGTGATTGACAGGTCTGTTGCAACAGTGTCCCCTCAGTCACCACCCCCCCAACCCCGGGATGTCTCTCCCCGCCTTCCTCCCCACCCCACCGCGCTGGGGTCGGCAGTGCTGAGAAGGACCACCTGGGACACAGGGCTGGGAACTCGGAGGTTGGTAGCCTTCCCGGGAGCGAGGAAGACAGGCGGATGCTTAGCCGAGCCAGGCCCAGCAGGCAGGCAGACTCTGAGAGTGACGGGACGCTCACCAGCCACATGCAGATTTGCTCATCTCTGCAGCCAAAGGAGGTGGGAGCACAGAACCACGTTCTTCATTGTTTTTACCAACTCTGACCCGAGTCTGCCTGTCCCAGCTGGACTGACAGCCCGGGGCCCTGCCTCCCCTTTGCCAAGGCAATGAGGGGTGGGGGTGGGGCTGGGGCTGGGGGCTGGGACTGGGACTGGGGGACAGGCCCTACCCCTTGAAGCGGACGTCACCGCTGCAAACCACTTGTGAGCACAGCCCTCCCTAGCTCACCCGCAGGCCTCAGCTTTCCCGGCGGTGAACTCCGCCCTCCAGGACACGGAACCCCGACCCAGCCTCCCCGAGATGGGCCTGCAGCAGCAGGTCATTGCTTAACCGCCAACAACAAAAAGCCTCGTGCACACACACGGGGCTTAGTCGAGGATGCTAAGTGGTGCCCAGCGCCTCCTGTGTGGACAGTCTCAGGCCCTGTCCAGGCCCACACAGGCCTCGCCCAGACGTGCGTGTGCCACAAACGAGGGTCCCTGGGAAGCTCTGGGCCCTGCCCAGGTCCCACCTCCATGCCCAGGCAGCCCCAGGCCCCCACAGGATCCCTGGTAAGCCAGGCTCTTGGGGCAGGTAGGGAGTTTGCAACAAGATTTTGTCCTGTTCTGCACGGCGCAGCAGAGTACAGGGTGTTTTTTTTTGTTTTTTTTTTTTGTTTTTTTTTTACAGGCAGAGTGGACAGTGAGAGAGAGAGACAGAGAGAAAGGTCTTCCTTTGCCGTTGGTTCACCCTCCAATGGCCGCCGCAGCCAGCGCACCGCGCTGATCCGATGGCAGGCGCCAGGTGCTTCTCCTGGTCTCCCATGGGGTGCAGGCTCCTGCCCCCCAAGCCTGTGCTGCCATATTTCCAGCACACTCTGGCAGCAGAACAAACCCAAAGCCATGAGTTCCAGTCTGTTCACTGCGTAACGGAACCAAGGCTGGGGGGAGAGACGCCAACTAAGGAAGGGCGGCATCAGGACCCAGACCTGCCAGAGGACATTGGGGTGGACACTGATCAGTCCCAGCGGCCAGGCCGCGGCCGAGGCTCACGGTTCATCCAAGCCTTCTTTCTTGCAGGTCAGCCTTTCCCAGAACCCAGCTCCCCTTCTCATCACTGCTGGCACCTGGCGCCATCTAGTGGAGCCCCGGACACCAACCAGTCTTACATTGAAAGAAATCGGAGGCCTTGGGGGCAGGGATACAACCCACCCCCCGCACAGCGTCCCTAAATGCCACCCTTGGGGCCACACGAAGGCAGTGCCAAACCCAAGAGGGGAGAGAGGAGGAGGGGCGGGGTCTCTGGGCATTGCTACGAATGAATGGACTTGACCAGGGACAGCAAGGCCGGCCAGCGGCCAGTGGAGAAATCCCAGCCAGGCCTCTTGGCACTCACACACAGGAGCCGACACCTGGGATTCTAGAGCCTTCTATAAACCCCGCGAGGGCCCACAGACGCCCAGCCAGGACACACTGCCTCGCCAGCGTCACTCTGCTACAGAGAAGGCGCTGCAGATCGGGCGCCGGCTGAGGCGGGGCAGACACCGGCGGCAGCAGGTGTAATGCCCGCCCCGCACCCGCACAGCACATCTACAAACACAGCCTCCACCACTGGCCCAGCCTGGTCACACATCCCTGGGGGTCCCGCGTGGACAGGCACAGTCCCGTGTTAATGCTGACCATGCCTACAGTGGGCGTCCCTCTCCGCCCTGGCTGCCCTAACACCAAGAGCAAGCTCAAGGCCGCAGACCGTCTTACGTGCAGGTTCACTGACTACAGCAGGTGCATCCAAGGGCGTCTCCCTGCTAAGCCCAGACTCACACTGAGTGAGGAGGGGGAACAGGGCAAACGCAGAGCCAGGGGAGAGATCGGGCACAGCCTCGCCGCTACCTTCACAGCTGGGTGGAGCCCGTGCTGTCCCCGCAGTCTCCTACCTGATATTTTGACCGGACTCTGAAAGCTGGGTTGAATTTTGTGCACGTTATCATTTTTCAACACCTGATCCAGAGGCGATCTCTCGAAGAAGGTGAGCACGACTTCCGACCTGGAATACTGAGAGGAGACCCAATCGTCACGGCTGGAATACTGGGAGGAGACCTGATCGTCACAGCACACCCACGGCTGGAATACTGGGAGGAGACCCGATTGTCATGGCTGGAATACTGGGAGGAGACCCGACCGTAACGGCCGGAATACTGGGAGGAGACCCGACCGTCACGGCTGGAATACTAGGAGGAGACCCGATCGTCACGGCTGGGATACTGGGAGGAGACCCGATCATCACAGCACACCCACAGCTGGAATACTGGGAGGAGACCCGATCGTCACGGCACGCCCACAGCTGGAATACTGGGAGGAGACCCGATCGTCACGACACACCCACAGCTGGAATACTGGGAGGAGACCCGATCGTCACGGCACACCCACGGCCGGAATACTGGGAGGAGACCCGATCGTCACGGCACACCCACGGCTGGAATACTGGGAGGAGACCCGATCGTCACAACACACCCACGGCTGGAATACTGGGAGGAGACCCGATCGTCACGGCACACCCACGGCCGGAATACTGGGAGGAGACCCGATCGTCACGGCACACCCACGGCTCCCGCCGGTCACCAGGCTGCTGACTGTGCCCTGGAAGGCTACACGGCCCACGGCATGCAAGGCCCCAGGGTGCGGTCAGTGGGATTCTAAGTGCTGTGTGTGCTGGCGTGTGGCACACGCCGCCCTCCCTCTGTACGTGAGCTGGGCCTGCTTCCTGTTGACCAGATGGGCCAGAGGCTGCCAGTGCCAACCCTGATGCTCCCCTGGCTTCCGCCTGCTGGACCCCAAATCCCACCCACGCCCCAACAACAAGGACCGGCCACTGAGAGTGGAGGCGAGAGAGCCCTGGCTCCGCGGCTGGGAAGCAGTCCCTGACCCTGACCCTGACCCTCCTCCCCTGTAATGCCCCTTCGGATCCCGTACCTCCACTGACTCCCCAGGGGGGCAGACAAAGCTCCTCCCTCTTGACTCTGTCTCCTCCCCCTCCCCAGCCTGCGGGGCTGCCAGGGAGGGAAGGCAGGGGCTGGGGACGCAGAGACAGGGACGGGGAACAGGGCACAGCCGGCCGGGCACTCACCTTGCAAGGCATGCCAATCACCGTCTTGAGCAGCTTCTCCACCTCGTCCAGTCGGCTCTCTATGTCCTGGGCATTCTTGATGGCGAGCAGTCCTGAGAGGCAGAGGGAGACGCCACGGTCAGCACAGCGGACAGCACGTGTCCCTCATGGAACCGCTGGCAGCGGCCACCCAGCCACAGGCCAGCAGGAGAGGAGGCGCCTCCACTTCCCCCAGAGGGGTGCGTGTACCCCCAGACCTCCCCGGCCACAGGCCAGCAGGAGAGGAGGCGCCTCCACTTCCCCCAGGGCGGTGCGTGTACCCCCAGTCCTCCCTGGCCACCCGGCACCAGGCCGGCAGGAGAGGAGGTGCCTCCACTTCCCCCAGGGGGGTGTGTGTACCCCCAGACCTCCCCGGCCACCCGGCACCAGGCCGCCAGGAAAGGAGGCACCTCCACTACCCCCAGGGGGGTGTGTGTACCCCCAGACCTCCCCGGCCACAGGCCAGCAGGAGAGGAGGCGCCTCCACTTCCCCCAGGGGGGTGCGTGTACCCCCAGACCTCCCCGGCCACCCGGCACCAGGCCGGCAGGAGAGGAGGTGCCTCCACTTCCCCCAGGGGGGTGTGTGAACCCCCAGACCTCCCCACCCCAGGAACATGCCTGGAACCACAGACGATGCCACAACCCACCACCAAACGCCAGTTCCACCTCCACGCAGCCCATGGGCGCCGGGGCCCCTGACTATGGCCGTCTGGGCAAAGCTAGCTCCCATCCCTCCTCCCTCCTCCACGAGTTCACAGAGTCCAGGGTCAGTTCCTTCCACCCGTCCCAGCAACCTCAGCGTCCAGCTACCTCCCCTTCCGTGCTAGGTCCGAGCATTCACCTTGCACTTGCAGGGGTGGGCACTCCTCTTCCCCGCCCAGGGTCCTCTGCAGGTTTACAACATCATCGCAGGCCGTACAAAACTCTCAACTTAATATTCAGCCTGCTGCATACCTACTGGACTCCAAGTCCCGCCTGTGGTTGCTCGGGCAGGGCCAGAACCAATGATCTCACGGCACGGCAAACACCACACCTCTGGCACTCTGGGGCCACTGCCGAGCGAGGGCTGTCTGAACATAGCAGCGCCATCCTTCAACAACGGGCCTGGTGACAAGGGCAGCCACCAAGTGAGGAACAGGAGGGTAGTGTACACCGCGTGGACACGCTGCACAGATGGTCCACACCCAGGACAGTGGCATGCAAAGCTGGGCACAGCTGACCACTCGGGATCATGTATTTCTGCCACGGAACATTATCGGACCGAGGCCGACTGTGGCAAACAGAAAGTTTGGGAAAGGGAACCATGGCCCGGGCTGTGGCGCAGTGGGGTAGGCTGCCGTGGGCAACACAGCATCCCCTATCAGAGCGTGGGTTCAAGTCTCGGCTGCTCTGCTTCCAACCCGGCTCCCCACTGGTGCACCTGTGGAAGCAGCAGGTGAGGACCCAAGTACTCGGGTCCCTGTCACCCACATGGGAGACCTGCACGGAGTTCCTGGATCCTGGCTTCGGGTCCCTGTCACCCACACGGGAGACCTGCACGGGGTTCCTGGATCCTGGCTTCGGGTCCCTGTCACCCACACGGGAGACCTGGATGGAGTTCCTGGATCCTGGCTTCGGGTCCCTGTCACCCACACAGGAGACCTGCACGGGGTTCCTGGATCCTGGCTTCGGGTCCCTGTCACCCACACGGGAGACCTGCACGGGGTTCCTGGATCCTGGCTTCGGGTCCCTGCCACCCACACGGGAGACCTGCACGGGGTTCCTGGATCCTGGCTTCGGGTCCCTGTCACCCACACGGGAGACCTGCACGGGGTTCCTGGATCCTGGCTTCGGGTCCCTGCCACCCACACGGGAGACCTGCACGGGGTTCCTGGATCCTGGCTTCGGGTCCCTGTCACCCACATGGGAGACCTGCACGGGGTTCCTGGATCCTGGCTTCGGGTCCCTGTCACCCACACGGGAGACCTGCACGGAGTTCCTGGATCCTGGCTTCGGGCTGGCCTGTCTTTGGCTGTTGTAGCCATTTGGGGAATGAACTAGTGGATGCAAGACCTCTCCCTCCAACCTATCAGTCTGCCTTTCAATTATATAAATAAATATTTTTTATAAAAGGGGGGAACCCACAGATCAGAGGGGGCTTCGGAGCTCACTCAGCCTCATGTACCTGGATCTCTGTTCTGAAAGTCCCTCTGAGCCAGGAGTGACTCAGGCTTGTGCCAGTGTCAATGCCACCGACGGTGGGGTGAGAGGGCAGGGAGGTGTAAGACCCTCCCCCCAAGAAGGGACATCTGGGGCATAAGCCCCCGGGCCCCCGCCCACCCCCAACAACACAGGGGAAGGCTCACGCTGCCGGCCGCAGCCGCCCAGATTCCCGAGGGCCCTGGAAGCAGAACCCGTGCTGAGATGAGTCATGGAAATGCCATGTGTGGGAGGGAAACCGCCGGACCCCTGCCTGGAGAAAAGCCGAGTGGCCATGACCATGACTCATCGCACGTCCAGGCACCTGAGCAGCGCGGGAGCCCGGAGTGCACGCGGCCAGTGCAGTCGTCCACTTTTAACATCCGCCAGGCAGGACACGCCTCCCCCAGCACAGCTTCCGACGGGTCAGGGACTCCCTCACCCGCCCTGCAAGCCGCAGTCGCACCCGCACGGGCCCAAACCCCAGAACCGCTGTCCGTCACGGCGTCTTAGGTTCTGCACGCGTTCTCATCTCGCTCTGGTCTGCAAACAGCAAGGAGGTGCTCGGTCTTCCGGGAACACACGGACTGCGTCCACGAGAGGCAAAAATAATTTCCTCCACTGACTGCTGGAAGTGAGCCCAGAAGGCAGGCTCGTGCGAACTCCCCGCGGGGGCTCCTCAGACATGGGCTGGGGTACAGCTGAAAGCCTGGGCCGCAGCAGGGGACTCCCTCATAGCCGAATCAAGGCCCTGCCGCCCCCTCTTCGCCTGGCCACCAGCTGGGCAGGTGTCTCTGCCTGTCAGAGGGACTCTCTGGTCCTGCTCAGCCCCCTCTCAAGCCACCCAGGCCATGGCAACCAAGTGACAGGAGCGAGAGCCCCAAGAGGTGGCAGGTGGGCTGTGATCCACCCACTGAGAAGCCCTGGCCCTCACGAGAGGAGGGGACTGGACCACCCTGCCCGGTGCAGCCATCACCCAATCACTCCGGTTGCCATGGCCCAAGCCCCAGTCTCTTTGCGTAGTATTTCAAACATATATGTGCTGCTGTGCATGTGTGTGCGTGTCACGTACACGTGTGTGCCTTGTACATGTGGGCCACATACACACGAGCGCCATGCATGTGTAGCATATGCACACGTGTCCCGTGCATGCATGAAATACATGCGTGTTGTATACGTGTATACATCTGGCCATTTGGAGACTGAACCAGTGGATGGAAGACTTGTCTCTATCTCCTTCTCTCTAACTCTGCCTTTCAAATAAATTAATCAATCTTTTTCAAAAATAAGTTGAATTTACTGTCAAAAAATTTCAAAATCTGTTTTTTCCATAATATGCTTTTTCCAAGAACATTTTTTTAAAGATTAATTTATTTATTTGAAAAGACAGAGTTACAGAGAGGCAAAGGCAGAGTCTGAGGGAGAGAGAGTCTTCTATCTGCTATTTCGCTATTTCACTCCCCAAATGGCTGCAACGGTTGGAGCTGGGCCGATCTGAAGCCAGAAGCCAGGAGCTACTTCTGGGCCTCCCATGTGGGTGCACGGGCCCAAGCACTTGGGCCATCTTCCACTGCTTTCCCAGGCCACAGCAGAGAGCTGGATCGGAAGTGGAGCAGCCGGGACTAGAACCAGCGCCCATATGGGATGCTGGCACACAGGCAGTGGCTTTAGCTGCTGCACCACAGCGCCGGCCCCCTCCAGGAACATTCTGAACACCGCACAAAGTGCTTCTTTATTCTAAGCCAAATAAAACTGTTAGATTTCAACTCTTCTGGCGGCTTGAACACTGGTTTTTAACTTGCACAGTCCACAGTGCATTTACATCCGCTGTATGGGACCCAAGGCAGAAATTTAAAATCCCAAAACACGGCGCGGGGATACAGCTGTGTCTGCTCTGACGAGCCGGCTGCTGGCGGCTGTGACTGGACGCCCGACCAGGCCTTGGCTGCGCTTGCAGCCAGGGACGTCAATGATGCGTCCTGCCCGCGCGTGATCTTGTCTGGGGGGTGGCCAGCGAAACCTGGATTCACACCCACGACACTAATGCGACGGTAGAGGCAGATTTGCTCCGAAACTTGGGGCTTATCTGCAACGCAGGTTCAGCTGCGGCTCCCGTGCTGCGTCTGGCAGAGGCTAGGACCCCGTGACCATTTCCCAGATCCAAGCAGAGAAAAGTGAGAAACAGGGGCAGGCTGGAAACAGAGCCCTCCCTCCCCACAACGCCCAGCTGACTCCAACACCAGGAAACGGGTCCCCGCGCCCTCCGAGTGCTGCCTCTGGGAAGTCTGTCCCCTCTAGGCCCACCAGACCGTGACAATGGGGCCTGGTCCTGCACGGGGCTTCTGGGGAACTCCAGAATCCTGCATGGCAGCCCCCTCATGTAGCCCGTGGGAACCTGCAAATAGCTGGCGCCTTTGGTCTACCTCCTCGTGCCTGGCACACACAGAGGGCCCAGTGCTCGCCTCCGTCGACTGAACGCATTTGCACAAGAGGAAAGCGGAGGGCAGGAGCATCAGCCCAGGAGCCGGCCGGGCGCAGCAGCTGTCGGGCCACAGGCAGAGCAGAGCAGGTGTGAAGCCCGGAGCTGCTCTGGGCCGGGGCTCTGTGCAGAACCTGCTGGCCACACGGTTCACACGCCTCTCGGGAGCCCCCCACCCTGACCCGGGCTTCGAGCCCTGCTCTGCTTCTGATGCCAGCACCCTGCTGATGCAGAGCCTGGGAGGCAGCAGGTGGTGGTTCCAAGAGCCTGGCTCCTGCCCCCTACATGGGGGGACCCAGATGGAGTTCCTGGCTCCTGGCTTCAGCCTGGCCCAACTGCCACTGATGTAAGGCACTTGGGGAGTGAACCCGCCAACGGCTGATCTGTCTCCTTCTTTCTCTCTGCCTTTCAAACAAAACAATCAAACGCACAAGTCACTCAAGGAAGCTGGGAACATTGAAATGGGGACATGGAAGATTCTAGAATCCCACGCGGCAAGCCCAGAAACTCTCACGTGGGAGCCGGGAAGGGCAGCTAAGCCCTGGGCTTCCAGCTGGGGGCGCTTTATCATCAGCCAAGCGCTGCACGCGCTGTCAGGAGACGCAGTCACGTTCGCCTTCTCCGCGGACCCTGTCCCCTTCCCCAGCGGGGTCGCATGCGGCTGAATGCACTGAAGCCCCCCGGCTAACAGCACCGCGACCACGGGAGCCACGGAGAACAGCGGCACGAACGGCCGGGACCTGCGGGCTACCCCGACCCCACACAGGCGGCCTTGACCCCTGTGCCCCCACCGGGCATTGCCACTCCCCTGCAGTCGTCTGAAGATCGTTCCCCACCAGACCATGAGTGCATTTGGTGTGGGAGGAAACAGCTTTTAAAACACCCTGTACGGCCGGCGCCGCGGCTCACTAGGCTAATCCTCCGCCTTGCGGCGCCGGCACACCAGGTTCTAGTCCCGGTCGGGGCGCCGGATTCTGTCCCGGTTGCCCCTCTTCCAGGCCAGCTCTCTGCTGTGGCCCGGGAGTGCAGTGGAGGAGGGCCCAAGTGCTTGGGCCCTGCACCCCATGGGAGACCAGGAGAAGCACCTGGCTCCTGCCTTCGGATCAGCGCGGTGTGCTGGCCGCAGCGCGCCAGCCATGGCAGCCATTGGAGGGTGAACCAACGGCAAAAGGAAGACCTTTCTCTCTGTCTCTCTCTCTCACTGTCCACTCTGCCTGTCAAAAAAAACAAACAAACAAAAAAAAAAACCCTGTACTCTGCTGCGCCGTGCAGAACAGGACAAAATCTTCGTTCTGAAATTCCTAACACGCTCACTGCCGTGTCTCAATCTCACAGCTGGTGGGAACCCCAGACACCTGCTACCTAGACCCCAAATTATTAGAAATTCTCTAAGGGGCGCAGTGCTCCAGGGCAAAGCCCTCGGCAGAATCCTCGTGCACGATGCTCTCTCGTCTTTGGTACTTTGTCCCGGGGCGACTCGGTGCTTGTCTTAGAGGTTCCTAACGCTTTTCCAAATGCTTCCTTGCAACCATTTACACCCTATTTTTTCAACAGTATTTTAGGAACACCAGGGATTTTCGTTTTTGCATTTAAACACTGTTGAAGCCTTGAGGATGCTGTTGGGCTTGTCTCGGTTTTGCTGCCTGAGTTCCCAGCAGCAAGACGATGGTGGTGAATTTGAAGACACAGAAGCAGAACCCACCTCTTAATTAGGGTGCTGCTCCGGAGCTGGACAGCAGGGGGAGCCAGCACTCCGCAGAAGCCGCAAGATTTGGGTCACTGAAGAACTTGAGACAGGAGGGGAGGACTGTCCACTACCCACCCACGGTGAAGAAAGTTAATCACCAGCCCCCTGAAATTCTCCAGTCTCTGGTGAGGGCTAATCACTAACATAACCGCGACCTTTTAAAACGCCACCCTGCACAGCTGGTGACATGGGCATTCTATGCAGAATCAGCCCAAACAGCCTGAGAATTTGAGACTGACAGTCGGGCAGGGGCCAGGCCCAGCAGCCAGGGTGCCCTGTGTCCCCAGGCGAGCCTGGTCCTGAACCTGGAGGACACAGAATGCTGGAGGTCCCCTCCAGTCCAGGGAGAGCCGCTTGCTGCGAACCCAGACAGCTGACTCATTCCCAGCACCAAGCAGCGTTGGCGTCGGCGCAGGCACAGAGCCCCGTCCATGACAGCAAACAGAAACCACACGGCTTCCCCGTGTCACAGTCCAGGGTCCAAAGTCCCACGCCCTGCAGACGTGGAGGCTCAGGCTCCCTCCACGGGGACCTCGTTCTGGGATGGAAGCTGCCCCGGTCAGCTGGGAGGGGAGCACGTCAGGGACGTCCATGACCCACGCCATCGGCCTCCTGTGGGCGGGGGACGCATTCCGCCCCCCACACAGCCGACATCCCAGGGAGGCGAGCTTTGACTGGGTCACACACTACATCACGTCTCGTGGCCGCTTCCCCACCTGACAAGTGTGTCCGTGCATCTCCTGGACAGAGAGACCCCCGCGTGGGTGAAGCGTGGACACCGAGTCACCT